TTCCAAAGCTTTTTCATGAACCTCTATAGCTTTGTCGTAGTTTCCTGTTTTATTAAACACTAAACCAAGATTGTTTAAAGAATCAGCAACATCAACATGATTTGGACCTAACGATCGTTTTTGATTTTCTAGAGCTTTTTCGTAAAACTCTATAGCTTTGTTGTACTTTCCAGTATCATAGTACACCATACCAAGAATGTTTAAAGATGTAGCAACGTCAACATGATTTGGACCAAACGATTGTTTTCGAATTTCCAGAGCTTTTTCGTGAACCTCTACAACTTTGTCGTAGTTTCCAGTTTCATAATAGACCAAACCAAGATTGTTTAAAGATGTAGCGACGTCAACATGATTTGGACCTAACGATTGTTCGCGAATTTCCAGAGCTTTTTCATGAACCTCTATAGCTTTGTTGTACTTTCCAGTATCATAATACACCATACCAAGATTGTTTAAAGATGTAGCAACGTCAACATGATTTGGACCAAACGATTGTTTTCGAATTTCCAGAGCTTTTTCGTGAACCTCTACAACTTTGTCGTAGTTTCCAGTTTCATAATAGACCAAACCAAGATTGTTTAAAGATGTAGCGACGTCAACATGATTTGGACCTAACGATTGTTCGCGAATTTCTAGAGCTATTTCGTGAACCTCTATAGCTTTGTCGTAGTTTTCAGTTTTATTAAACAACAAACCAAGATTGTTTAAAGAATCAGCAACATCAACATGATTTGGACCCAAAGATCGTTTTCGAGTTTCTAAAGCTTTTTCGTAAAACTCTATAGCTTTGTCGTAGTTTCCAGTTTCATAATAAACAAAACCAAGATTGTTTAAAGATGTAGCAACGTCAACATGATTTGGACCTAACGATTGTTCCCGAATTTCCAGAGCTATTTCGTGAACCTCTATAGCTTTGTCGTAGTTTCCAGTTTTATTAAACACCAAACCAAGATTGTTTAAAGAATCAGCAACATCAACATGATTTGGACCCAACGATCGTTTTCGAGTTTCTAAAGCTTTTTCGTGAAACTCTATAGCTTTGTCGTAGTTTCCAGTTATATAAAACACCAAACCAAGATTGTATAAAGGCGAAGCGACATTAACATGATTTGGACCTAACGACTGTTTTCGAATTTCCAGAGCTTTTTCGTAAAACTCCATAGCTTTGTCGTAGTTTCCAGTATCATAATACACATTACCAAGATCTATTAAAGAATCAGCAACATCAACATGATTTGGACCTAACGATTGTTTCCGAATTTTTAGAGCTTTTCCGTGAACCTCTTTAGCTTTGTCGTAGTTTCCAGTTTTATAAAACACCAAACCAAGATTGTGTAAAGACGAAGCGACATAAACATGATTTGGACCTAACGATTGTTTTCGAATTTCCAGAGCTTTTTTGTAAAACTCTATAGCTTTGTCGTAGTTTCCAGTTTCATAAATCACATCACCAAGATTGTTTAAAGACTGAGCGACATCAACATGATTAGGACCTAACGATTGTTCTCGAATTTCTAGAGCTTTTCCGTGAACCTCTTTAGCTTTATCGAAGTTTGCAGTTTTATAAAACACCAAACCAAGATTGTTTAAAGACGAAGCGACATGAACATGATTTGGACCTAACGATTGTTTTCGAATTTCCAGAGCTTTTTTGTAAAACTCTATAGCTTTGTCGTAGTTTCCAGTTTCATCAAACACATCACCAAGATTGTTTAAAGACTGAGCGACATCAACATGATTAGGACCTAACGATTGTTCTCGAATTTCTAGAGCTTTTCCGTGAACCTCTTTAGCTTTATCGTAGTTTCCAGTTATATAAAACACCAAACCAACATTGTATAAAGACGAAGCGACATTAACATGATTTGGACCAAACGATTGTTTTCGAATTTCCAGAGCTTTTTCGTAAAACTCCATAGCTTTGTCGTAATTTCCAGTATTATAATACACATTACCAAGATCTATTAAAGAATCAGCAACATCAACATGATTTGGACCTAACGATTGTTTCCAAATTTCTAGAGCTTTTCCGTGAACCTCTTTAGCTTTGTCGTAGTTTCCAGTTTTTTCAAACACCAAACCAAGATTGATTAAAGAATCAGCAACATCAACATGATTTGGACCTAAACATTGTTTTTGAATTTCTAGAGCTTTTTCGTGTACCTCTATAGCTTTGTCGTAGTTTCCAGTTTTTTCAAACACCAAACCAAGATTGATTAAAGAATCAGCAACATTAACATGATTTGCACCTAACGATTGTTTTCGAATTTCTAGAGCTTTTTTGTAAAACTCTATAGCTTTTTCGTAATTTCCTCTTTCATAAAATAAATTACCAAAATTGTTTAAAGACTGAGCATCATCAACAAGATTTTGACCTGACGATTGTTCTTGAATTTCCATAACTTTTTCGTGAAACTCTATAGCTTTTTCGTTATTTTCAGATTGCTTAACTTGTATTATTTAATTCGATGGATTTGCACATATCAGCCTTAGCGTCAACAACTTAGCATCGACGAAAGACAATTTCAACGTCACGAAGATAACAAAATTCTTTAGCTCCATAAAAAGTGTGGAATTACTAAATTGAACAAGCGATACTATAGTTTATGACAAATATAAACACACTTGTTGATAAATATTTCTACTTCTAAAACGACTTAAATATCTAAACTATTCAATGATGACATGCAAGAGTCCATTTGTGATTTTAAAGAAAATGTACTTCATGGTGAGTCATAAATAATAAAATATACTTTAAAATAAGCCTTACCTTGTTTAAGATGGCAGTGATTTGTTTTTGGTAAGCATATTGTTCTTGTTTGGAATTGTAAATTCCTTTGATTTATCTACAATTACAGAATTTACAAACTTCCATAGGTCACATTTATACGTCACAGTCAAGCATGAAAATTATTTGTTTTTTGACTTAAAAACCTTTTACTGGTTAACGGCGTGTAGCCTTGAGCAGTTGAACTTTTAGAAAGATTTAAAGTTCTGACAACTTAAGCATCATATGTTCTTCCTTCGAGTCGATAAGTGGAAATTTATTTTGTGCTACGGAATTTAAAACATCTTAAGAATAGATTGTTATGTAAAGCAAAGATATGGTTTTATGATTTTTATTGTTTTTTTTTTATCAGTTTGATTACCATTTGGAACAAATTGATCAATAGAAATAAGTATGAATTTTACTAAATTATACCGTTTTTAAGATATTTTGGAACTATGATCATAAAGTGGAAGTATTGAAAAGAATTAAGTTGCAATACTCATATCTGTTTTTAAATTTATTGTAAGTATAATGCGATGAATTTGCATACATGAACCTTCGCAACCAAAGCTTGACGAAAGACAATTGCAACGTTAAAAAGATTAGCAAATTTTTTAGCCGCATTTAATATAAGGACTTACAAATTAGCTTATCACAAAGATAACACACTTCCTGATCAATATTTCTACTTCAAATACGACTTAAATATCTAAACTATTCAATGATGACATGCATGAGTCCATTTGCAATTTCAAACTAAATTATCTTCCGGATTCATAAATGTGATTTCATACTATCACAAGTATAATGAAATAACACATATTTTATAAATATACCGTCCGGACCCAAAGATAAATATAACTGCATGCGAGCAAGCAATTTGAATTTCTTAGCAAGCGACACATCACGATAAACACGCCTTCGTTTAGATGACAGTGATTTTTCGGTAAGCAAATTGTTTGTATTTGTAACTTTGTTTAATTGGTGTGCAACTACAGGATCACAAGTTGCTACGGGTATCTATGATGTATATCTTATTGTACTAGGTTGAGATTAATATTTATTAAAAGTGTATTAATTATATTTGACGAACAACTTTCATTTAAGAACTCATTTATACATCGTTTACACACACGATAATTCTTTGTCTTTTGTCTTACAAACCTTTTACTGGTCGATGATTGAGGCTTTGAACATTCGATCTTTCAAATCACTTAACGTTCTGAAAAGTTAAGCGTCAAATGGCTTTGTCCTTTCAGTTGATACGTGGCAAATTATTTTGTCCAACTGAATTTAAACCATTAAAAGTTTATTGTTATGTAAAGCAAAGATACGGCCTTATGAGTTTTATTGTTTTTATTAACATGTTTGAATTTTATTACCGTTTCCTTGGTATTTTGGAAGTTTGTTAAAAAAAACCTTAGCTCCATAATTAAGAGTTCGTCTTATACATGAAAATTCACAATATCATATTGTGGAACTTTTGTTTCATTTGCTTGTTTAAGTTGAATAAGGCAAAACAGGCGTTCGTTGGTTTAAATGTTGGGAAAAGTAAATCTCACGCCTTGATAAGATAACATTACATTATATTCTGATAAATTAAATGAAGGAAAGTTGATATAGAATTCTTATTGTAGAAACTATAAAGATTTGTTAAGATCATGTCCGATGTTTGGTTGTATCATTTAGGTATATTTCAAGCTGTCTCCTGGTAATCAGAATTGATCCGTAAGATGGCAAAAGTTAAGTCTATTAAAAGCACAATTCAAAACGACTTCACACAAAGAATATAAAAATGTCCATTGCTGTAATTGAATTAACTAATTAGTTTTTAACTAGTTGATTGGCATAATTTTAACCCAAAAAGCCTCAAACTAAATTAGTCAAGAACTGTAAACTGAATAAATATTTTTTATATATAGACATATACACCATCTCCATGTAGTCCAAAAGCTTTGTTTTTATAAACAATGTTATACTCAGATATCTCAAGATTACAAGTATCATGTAAGCTGTATTTCTGCGATGAACACTACATCGGGTTCTTGCTTGGCAGCGAAATCGCGAATTATTTTGAGCTTTCCTTTTTAAACGTGAAGCCTAATTATATATGCAAAATGCACTTCCGGTTACCCACAAGAGATACAAATTTCTATAGAAATGTTTGGCGGATAACGTTTACAAACCAGGATCTTCGAATATTTAAGGCATTTCGCAAAGTATTATTTATCTCAAATATCTGTCATGGATAAATAAAGTTATTTAAATCAATTTGACATCAACATTATTTCGATACCTGTAAAATATCGGCGTTCGTGTTCATTTGAAAATCGCTCGTGAAAGAATCGAATTTGCCTAATAGTTGTCAAGACAAGATAATGTACAGCTCGCTTTACAAGTTTAGAGGCAGTTATGATCTAGAATATATTTCAATGCGTAAAAATTGTGGTAAGTACCTTTATTTTATCATTCTTTATAATCTAGATATTGTCGTATGTTACTTTTGCCGTGACTTTATGAGTCCGGGTATATTAGTGTAGGAACAAACAAATTTACTAAGCTTAGTTTATTCTTAGTTTTAATTTCTATTTTTATTTTATAAAGATAATATTATCACTACACCTTGCTACAGCATTTGGATATGGTATTCATCAGTACGTATGGTTGTTATTGTCATAACATGCAGGGACGGATCTAGGACTACCGTGAAATTGGCACCACATTGGGCACAACATTCAACACAACATTCATCACAACATTCAACACCACATTCAACTAAAATTTATCATTCAAAATGATAAATCGAAAAATCGTCTTTAAAACACGTTTTCCATCAAATAAAATAGTAAAAAACAATTCTTAACTGTTTATTATTATTTTACTGTCCTTAAACATCACAAAAATGTATAAAAGTCAAGAAATTGAAGAAAACACTAAGATTTATATTACAGTGTACTTTCCATTTCTCTTAATTAGCCTATAACTTAAAACTACACGGTAGAATTTTTTAAACTTGGCCAGAATATAGATAATTATATTACCTAAAATATATCCAAAATCTGGAGTGCACAAAATATAAATGATAGAAAAACATCTACAAAGTCGGATGACACGAATACGCGTAATATAATATTATATAATTAACTTCCAATATCAAGGTATCTTTGCAAACAAAGGCCTATAAATAAAAAACTACACGGTAGATTTTTTTAAACTTCGCCATACTGTTGATACGTTTATTCTCTAAAATATATCCAAAATCTGGAGAGTGCACAAAAATATAAAAGGAATAGTATTGCTTGAGAATAAACCGTGAAGTTGGCACCACATTCGACAAACAGCTCCATAGCTAAAAAACTACACGGTAGAATTTTTTTAAACTCAAGTATATTATAGAATTTTATATTGTCTAAAATATATCCAAAATTTGTAGAGTGCACAAAAATATAAATGATAGAAAAACATCGGCAAAGTTGGATGACTCAAATGCGCGTAATATGATCTTGCATAAATAAGTTAAGAATTCCGGTTCTTTAACAAACAAAGCCTTATAAATAAAAAACTACACGGTAGAATTTTTTTAAACTTGGCCATATTGTAGATATTTTTATTGTATAAAATATATCCAAAATCTGGAGAGTGCACAAAAATGTAAATGATAGAAAAACATCGACAAATTTGGATGACTCAAATGCGCGTAATATGATCTTGCATAAATAAGTTAAGAATTCCGGTTCTTTAACAAACAAAGCCTTATAAATAAAAAAGTACACGGTAGAATTTTTTTAAACTTGGCTATATTGTAGATATTTTTATTGTCTATAACATATCCAAAATGTGGAGAGTGCACAAAAAAATAAGTTGTAGAAAATCATCGGCAAAGTCGGATGACACGAATACGCGTAATATAATATTATATAATTAACTTCCCATATCAAGGTATCTTTGCAAACAAAGGCCTGTAAATAAAAAACTACACGGTAGAATTTTTTTAAACTTGGCCATACTGTTGATATGTTTATTCTCTATAATATATCAAAATCTGGAGAGTGCACAAAAAATAAGTTGTAGAAAATCATCGGCAAAGTCGGATGACACGAATACGCGTAATATAATATTATATAATTAACTTCCATATCAAGGTATCTTTGCAAACAAAGGCCTGTAAATAAAAAACTACACGGTAGAATTTTTTTAAACTTGGCCATACTGTTGATATGTTTATTCTCTATAATATATCCAAAATCTGGAGAGTGCACAAAAAAATAAGTGTTAGAAAATCATCGGCAAAGTCGGATGACACGAATACGCGTAATATAATATTTAATAATTAACTTCCCATATCAAGGTATCTTTGCAAACAAAGGCCTGTAAATAAAAAACTACACGGTAGAATTTTTTAAACTTGGCCATATTGTAGATATTTTATTGTCTATAACATATCCAAAATCTGGAGAGTGCACAAAATATAAAAGGAATAGTATTGCTTGAGAATAAACCGTGAAGTTGGCACCACATTCGACAAACAGCTCATAGCTAAAAACTACACGGTAGAATTTTTTTAAACTCAAGTATATTATAGAATTTTATATTGTCTAAAATATATCCAAAATTTGGAAAGTGCACAAAAATATAAATGATAGAAAAACATCGGCAAAGTTGGATGACTCAAATGCGCGTAATATAATATTGCATAAATAAGTTAAGAATTCCGGTTCTTTAACAAACAAAGGCCTATAAATAAAAAACTACACGGTAGAATTTTTTTAAACTTGGCCATACTGTTGATATGTTTATTCTCTATAATATATCCAAAATCTGGAGGTGGCACAAAAAATAAGTTGTAGAAAATCATCTGCAAAGTCGGATGACACGAATACGCGTAATATAATATTTAATAATTAACTTCCTTATATCAAGGTATCTTTGCAAACAAAGGCCTGTAAATAAAAACTACACGGTAGAATTTTTAAACTTGGCCATATTGTAGATATTTTTATTGTCTATAACATATCCAAAATCTGGAGAGTGCACAAAATATATAAAGGAATAGTATTCTTGAGAATAAACCGTGAAGTTGGCACCACATTCGACAAACAGCTCTATAGCTAAAAAACTACACGGTAGAATTTTTTTAAACTCAAGTATATTATAGAATTTTATATTGTCTAAAATATATCCAAAATTTGGAAGTGCACAAAATATAAATGATAGAAAAACATCGGCAAAGTTGGATGACTCAAATGCGCGTAATATAATCTTGCATAAATAAGTTAAGAATTCCGGTTCTTTAACAAACAAAGACCTATAAATAAAAAACTACACGGTAGAATTTTTTTAAACTTGGCCATACTGTTGATATGTTTATTCTCTATAATATATCCAAAATCTGGAGTGCACAAAAAATAAGTTGTAGAAAATCATCGGCAAAGTCGGATGACACGAATACGCGTAATATAATATTTAATAATTAACTTCCCATATCAAGGTATCTTTGCAAACAAAGGCCTGTAAATAAAAAACTACACGGTAGAATTTTTTTAAACTTGGCCATATTGTAGATATTTTTATTGTCTATAATATATCCAAAATCTGGAGAGTGCACAAAATATAAAGGAATAGTATTGCTTGAGAATAAACCGTGAAGTTGGCACCACATTCGACAAACAGCTCCATAGCTAAAAAACTACACGGTAGAATTTTTTTAAACTCAAGTATATTATAGAATTTTATATTGTCTAAAATATATCCAAAATTTGGAAAGTGCACAAAATATAAATGATAGAAAAACATCGGCAAAGTTGGATGACTCAAATGCGCGTAATATAATCTTGCATAAATAAGTTAAAATTCGGTTCTTTAACAAACAAAGCCTATAAATAAAAACTACACGGTAGAATTTTTTTAAACTTGGCCATATTGTAGATATTTTTATTGTCTAAAATATATCCAAAATCTGGAGAGTGCACAAAAATGTAAATGATAGAAAAACATCGACAAAGTTGGATGACTCAAATGCGCGTAATATAATCTTGCATAAATAAGTTAAGAATTCCGGTTCTTTAACAAACAAAGCCTTATAAATAAAAAACTACACGGTAGAATTTTTTTAAACTTGGCCATATTGTAGATATTTTTATTGTCTATAACATATCCAAAATCTGGAGAGTGCACAAAAATATAAAAGGAATAGTATTCCTTGAGAATAAACCGTGAAGTTGGCACCACATTCGACAAACAGCTCTATAGCTAAAAAACTACACGGTAGAATTTTTTTAAACTCAAGTATATTATAGAATTTTATATTGTCTAAAATATATCCAAAATTTGGAAAGTGCACAAAAATATAAATGATAGAAAAACATCGGCAAAGTTGGATGACTCAAATGCGCGTAATATAATCTTGCATAAATAAGTTAAGAATTCCGGTTCTTTAACAAACAAAGACCTATAAATAAAAAACTACACGGTAGAATTTTTTTAAACTTGGCCATACTGTTGATATGTTTATTCTCTAAAATATATCCAAAATCTGGAGAGTGCACAAAAAAATAATTGTAGAAAATCATCGGCAAAGTCGGATGACACGAATACGCGTAATATAATATTTAATAATTAACTTCCCATATCAAGGTATCTTTGCAAACAAAGGCCTGTAAATAAAAAACTACACGGTAGAATTTTTTTAAACTTGGCCATATTGTAGATATTTTTATTGTCTATAACATATCCAAAATCTGGAGAGTGCACAAAAATATAAAAGGAATAGTATTGCTTGAGAATAAACCGTGAAGTTGGCACCACATTCGACAAACAGCTCCATAGCTAAAAAACTACACGGTAGAATTTTTTTAAACTCAAGTATATTATAGAATTTTATATTGTCTAAAATATATCCAAAATTTGGAAAGTGCACAAAATATAAATGATAGAAAAACATCGGCAAAGTTGGATGACTCAAATGCGCGTAATATAATCTTGCATAAATAAGTTAAAATTCCGGTTCTTTAACAAACAAGACCTATAAATAAAAAACTACACGGTAGAATTTTTTTAAACTTGGCCATATTGTAGATATTTTTATTGTCTAAAATATATCCAAAATCTGGAGGTGCACAAAAATAAATGATAGAAAAACATCGACAAATTGGATGACTCAAATGCGCGTAATATAATCTTGCATAAATAAGTTAAGAATTCCGGTTCTTTAACAAACAAAGACCTATAAATAAAAAACTACACGGTAGAATTTTTTTAAACTTGGCCATATTGTAGATATTTTTATTGTCTATAATATATCCAAAATCTGGAGAGTGCACAAAAAATAAGTTGTAGAAAATCATCGGCAAAGTCGGATGACACGAATACGCGTAATATAATATTATATAATTAACTTCCATATCAAGGTATCTTTGCAAACAAAGGCCTATAAATAAAAACTACACGGTAGAATTTTTTAAACTTGGCCATACTGTTGATATGTTTATTGTCTATAATATATCCAAAATCTGGAAGTGCACAAAAAATAAGTTGTAGAAAATCATCAGCAAAGTCGGATGACACGAATACGCGTAATATAACATTATATATTAACTTCCCATATCAAGATATCTTTGCAAAAAAGGCCTATAAATAAAAACTACACGGTAGAATTTTTTAAACTTGGCCATAATGTGAATATGTTTATTCTCTAAAATA